AATTAATGTGACCTTGACCTGACCTTCGCTACGCAACCCAAGGTCAAACTGATGTGATCAGTAAATACATCTTTTTAAATGCCACAACTTTTGTCTGAAACATTTTTTTGTAAAACTTATATTTTTCCTGATATTCGGGCGTCCCGGTACTTTCCGAACACCCTGTATATGTATATATATATATATATTTATACATTGTATATATATATATATATATATATATACGTATGTTTTATATATATATATATATATACACACATAAATTTAATAAATTTAATTAAATCTTATATGGTAAAGTGAATTTTTTCTTTTATTAAATTATACTCTTTTATAATTATTCAAAGTTAATAGTCTTTTATGACTTTGTTTATTTAATAACACTTAACAATAAAAAAATATTTAGTATAAAAATTTAAAGATAACCAAATGGAATGTGCGGGATTTTATAGACCTTACCTCATTAGAGAGAGCTAGAGTTTAATTTAACAATAAAGATTACGAAAAATATAATTTTTATTAAAATTAAAACATTTTATTAAATCATATTATCAAAAAATTATATTACACTATATTAAGTATAACACATATAGATAAAATATAAGACGTTTATATCAATCGAAGAAGTGGTGTAGTGTCTAAAGCAACAAACTCATAATCCAAAGATGTCTCATGGTTCAAGTTTGAGTCCTCAGTGCCAGTGAGAATTTTTAAAGTGATGTAACATTGGAATCAAGTAATCTAGAATTTTCAAGTAAAATCAGCAAACGTTGTGATATTTATATATACAAATAGTTTCTGTTATAAAATAGAACCAAATAAGGATATTTCGACACGTCATTTTTATGTCTTTTTATAACGTTACTTTCACGTTTTATTATGACGTCAGTGGGCTGTAATTTATTCCGATCATTTCCATGTCATTATTACGTGATTATAAAAGGATAATTGACGTCACGAATAACCAAAAACTGACGTAAAAATTACGTCACGTTGCTGCCTAGGATATGATATACGTTTCACATAGAATTGCAGATCTATTCATAAGTTCTTACAAGTCTTACGAAAACAAGTTACAAGTTTTACGATTTTGTTTAGAATTACAATATAAGTTAGAAAAACGAATATTATACAAAGTAAAATCTCAAATAACACCCTTACAGGAATATCCTGTTTCTGTTTTTTTTAAAGCAAAAGCATGATATTCTCTACTGTTATAAATATATATTAAGATCATGTTTCTACTTTTATTACAGCCAGAAACAGGATACAATAGTCATAGAGCATTTGATGTCGTTATATTTCATCGCTGTAGCAAAATTGCTATGTTATTTTGTTTTTAAGCGAAACTTATACATGTGTCTTTATTTACTTAAAAAGAAAAACAAAGGTAGACTTGCTTAAGTCTCATTTAAAGCCAAAATAATGCTGCGATCTAGTCTAAGACAAGTTTCCTAACCTTAATAATAATTAATTTTAACAATTAATATTTTACTTCGCAAAACAGAGCAACGATTTTTCCAAATAAAAAAATAGTTTTTCGTGTAAAAACGCGTCAAATGAGCTTATATTCATTCAAGAATTTTTAAAGTGAGGCCTCTAAATTGAATAATTACTATTAAAAGAATATATTTTACTTTGTGACGTCTGTATATATTTTTTCATCTTTCGTTTTTTTTTTTATTTACAATAACCACACACTCTCTTTCTTTCTTTCTTTCTTTCAAAAGTATCCTGGATCTGTAGATCCGTTGTCCAGTCCAAATTATAACCAAATTATAACTCTATTACACAGTTTTTGAATTTATATTCAGTGTATACACATTTAAGGGTGACTTTTACCAAATTTTAGTTCACTTTGGACTTATTTACACGAGCTGTTTCTGCCGCACACTAATGTCACATAACCATAAGCGCACGCGAGTGCAAGCGGAATCACGCGGCAACAAACGTTTAAGCGTTCGGCGCTCGGCACTAGCAGATACACGCGTGTCGCAAACAATAGTGCACGCATTCGCGCACGTTTTCGCGCATCGTCTCGTAGCAGCGTGCGGTTATTGACTCTCGCAAACTGGCGCGACGAACGACGCGATCTACAACACGTGATATCCAATAAAAATATTGCTATTCCAAAAAAGCTGTATGTTCATTGGACGTCACGCGTCGCGTATCGCGTTGACTGCGAGAGCCATAAGCGATTGTGTTATTCTATTTCAGAATATATCAGTATAATTTGCATATTTTTAGCAACATAAACCAAATTATATAAATGTTATTTTAGATAATTTAGTAAAGATAATATTTTTTTATCTAAGATGCAGATAAAGATAGTTCCAATTTTTTATTATCTAGATAAAGATAAGATGACATCAAAATTTCATCTAGTTGATCATCTATATAATTTTATCTAGATAAGAGCAAACACTGTCTGACAGTCGTAACAAAAAGTTTCAAATGATTATGAAAACTGTTCAATTATTAACTGTACCGCTTAAAAACTGTACCGCATGCCAGAACAAACATACGTCCGCATATACATATAAAAAGTTTATTTCACAAGTATTTAAATTTCTCCACTTCACCATTATGTAATATTTCTTACCTAGCTATTAACTTATTTATAACATATTATTCTTGTAACTAACTAACTAGAAGAAGTAACATTATTAACTTATTACTAGCTAGAATAACTAAATAGTAGCGATATAAGACATAAACTTTATAGGTCATGGCTCAACAATTGTGAGGTTTCGTGGACAATAAAATGTGATCGTGTTACTTTTATAAACGGTCCTTTCGCATAGAATTGAGAAGTCGTGTTATTCCTTTGAATAATCAACTCGTTGAAAGTGTTATAATCGTGAATATTATTAACGCTGCCGAAACGCTTCACGAAGAACCGTTTCGACCGCGCTACAACGAGACAGCGGATGTGCAAGTGCTGCGCTAAGCACCACCTTGTACATTCCACGCCTCGGACTTTGACCACGCACCGGATTATTACCAAATTTGGTAACTTCCTTGTTGCCAAGGTATCCCCGCCGATAAGGTTAATCATTATTATAAAAGAGCGGAGAAGACCGCGCTCGAAAGAATTCTTTCGGTCTCTCGCCCGCGACGTACGTACCTGTCGCACATACCGCGTGTGTGAATATAAGTTTCGGGAGTTTAACAAATAAACTAGTACTCTTTACAATAAAGTTATTTTACTATACATTCGACTACAACCATTGATTATCCCACCACCACATACCCTACCGCGCCCGCAACTCCGAAATCCTTTTCTCTCGCGTCCTATCGAAAAAGGGCACGACAAAAGGAATTTCATAGAATATTCGTTTACAAATTTGACCAATACAACATGTCAATAAAAATATAACAGGATTCTAACGAAATACGATGGCTAATTTGTGGGCGAATATAAATTTCACCATATAAATTGTGTATACAGTTTGCTGCATACGTATCACAATATTCCGAACAAATCTGTTGTCAAATTGCTGACTGTCATTGGTGATATTTTATTCTTATTGGCTGTATTTAGAACTCTTACAATATTAACTGAGACTTTTTCCTTCCGAATGACATCCATGCGATAAGGGGTAAGTTCTGTGCGAAGTAGAGGGTAATGAGAATTGTCTTGTTGAAAATAATCTTCGTTACCGGTCCGATGTATGGTATAACTGAAACAAATTCGACAAGTGAATCAATACTCTGTTAACATGAAAATTTAATATCATGCGAATATGGATAATACTTACGTAACAGCCGGAATATGAATTTATAACATTTCAGAATTATCCAATTATACCATCGCAGCGATATCTTATCTGAAACGTAAATTAATATTTCTTTTATAATAATTATTATATATTTAGTGAACTTGAAGTATAAAGAACTTTTATTCACAATTAAATGATCTAAAGCATTTCCTAATGAGTGCCAATGCGCGTACAATGCGCTTTAAATATGCATTTTAATTAACATTAAAAGCGCATTGTAAATGCACATTTACAGCGTATATTTGTTCCACATTAAATTTGTGTTTAATGCACATTATGACAGCGCATTAAATTCACATTTAATGCACATTATGGCAGCGCCTTCAAAAAAATATTTCTCGCGTATCTTGTTTGCTAGTACCTTGCGAATTTATGTCTCTGAAGTGTTTCTGCAACGTTATATTACAATTACAATATGGAAACGTTGCAGTAATGTTGTAGCAAGTGTCTGTGTTGTGTGGGTTCTTCCAACATTATTTTTTATTAAATTAAAGACAAATATTGTTGAATCAACTATAGGTATGACATTCTGTGACATCGATATTTCATTGGCGTGAGGAACTTCAGCAAATTAATTAAAAAGCAAATTATTGGGTCTACAATTAAACGCCAAAAAAACGAAATGGATGATAATAAAAATTCCGTACATGGGTATGGAGACGTGAGGGTGGAGAATGCGATTATTGAAAGGGTAAAATCTTACAGGTATCTCGATGGGTGGATCTCAAACAACTGGGATATGACACAGGAAATAAGGTGCAGAATAGAAGATTAGACTAAAAGTCCTAGTCTCAGACTAGAAGTTCCTTTAAGAGAATGCAGAAAATATTCACTAGCAGATATTTAAAGATTTCCTTGAGACTGAGATTGCTGCGATGCTACGTGTTCAGCATATTGTTTTATGGAGTGGAAGCCTGGACAATTATAGACACCATGTGTAAAAGAATAATGGCGTTTAAGATGTGGACCTACCGAATATTAAAAATACTGTGGATCGCTAAGGTGACCAACCAGGAGGTATTGCGGTGACTGAGTGAACGGACGGAAATGTTAGAAAACATCAAGAAAAAAAAGCTGGAGTACTTCGGATATGTTATGAGAAGTGAGAAATACTGTTGCAAATTATAATTCAGGGTAAGATTGAAGGGAAACGTGGTCTGGATAGACGCAGGACCATGGCTTAAAAATCTACGACAATGGTTCAGGCACACCCTTATAGAAATATCATACTAAGAATCATTGATAATTACTTATTTTCAGTATTAAAAATACTGGATAATAAGTAATTATCAATGATTCTTAGTATGATATTTCTATAAGGGGTATACATCAGTTTAGAAGGTTTTACGAAAAAAAAACAGATCTTTTGTAAGTAAGCAATAATTTGTGGTTTGACGATGTATTACGTAAAAAATTATTCATTTATTTTATAAAACTTGTTATTACGAAATATGTAAATATTATATTAATTTGAGTGCATTTTAAGCATACAATTAATGCGGTTTTGAATCTAATGCAGTTAAATGCGCATTAACCCTTAAACACTGACAGAAGTCTGATAGACTCCCAATGAAATGAAAAAACCTATTGCTGTTTCACTCCCGCTTAAGCGTGTACACATCACGTTTGTCTATCTTTTCTTCAGCCCGTAAGATACGAAGTCAAGACAAGGAAAGACGCTTCGCACACTTTCTCAGGTAATTATCAAACTTCGAAATATTTTTGTAAATCTGTGTCAGTGCTTAAGGATTAAAAGCGCGTTATACGTGCATTGGCGCTCCTTGAATTAATAACAATTATGAAGCATTTAAGATCTGTTTCCAAGTATTTGATAATTGTTATCAGATATCTAGTAAATATCAAGGAATCATTCAATTCAGATTTATGAAATTAGTTAAGTATTCATTTTGTTAAGTCAACGTAATATTCGGTAACATCAACTATATTTATATCGATATCTATCACCTAAAGACATCTTTCGCATTCCATATAGAAAAATATCACAAGTACTTATTAGAAACAGTAGTGATTAATCACTTTTCAGTGAGTCAGTGATTATTTCGTGAATTACCCGAGAAAAAAAAGCCAGATATGGATTTTAACAATATGGATATACCAGATATATCTTTTATATATAATCAGATATAACGTTGTATATCATTCAGATCTGATTATTACGCTTCCTATATATGCTATATAGAAAGCATAATAATCAGATTTGAATCATATCCCAAACAGCACAATAATGTTGAATCAATGTTGAAAAAATGTTGAATTGCAACAATGTCAATATTGCAGTAACATAGAGAAACATTGAATCAACGTTGCACAAATCTTGATATAATGTAAAAATGTCCACTTAAAAGTTTTCCGCGTAGCTTTCATAAAAAAAGTAATTCCTAATTTTCTTATATCTCATAATTGCTATCAACCAGATTGTGAAAAATTGTGAAACATACTCTAAAACTTTCGCGAATTTTCCCTCGATAATTTCTAATCCAAAGCGGTCACCATCCATGTCCTGACTGCGTTAAAGTGTTGCTTAACCTGACAATCGAGCGCGCACGCGGTGACTCCAATGATTCCAACGATGTTCTTACAATTTATGATTATATAATGTATACTTATAGTGTTCACAGTATATTATAATGTACCTAGCAAATACGCGTGTTGATTCGCCTATCTATTTTATCTCTAAAGTTATGTGGTTATTTGCAAAATGACTTCAACCATTTCTTTCAGTTTAGTATTTTTTATGTATTTTTTTGTTATCGATATAGCTTGCGTCAGACTCTATATAATTGAGAATAAATTGCAAATAGCGCGCAAATTTGCTACAAGTTGTCAGACTCTGATACATATTTGGTGACAGTTTAGCAAAAGAATTTAATAACATAGATTCTGCATCAAATTTGTTGCTCATTAACTATAAAAACTTGATAGCAAATTTTGCGCGAAATTTACTTGCTCAAGTGTATCTATCTGTGTTACTTCTAAAACAGTAGATATCTAATTTGTTGAAGTGAATCAAATTATATAGAATCAAATACTATCTGATTCGATTGTATATATGAATATGGAATGTTCAGATATGAGCATATCCAACAATACATAAGATCTGACTGTATAAAATGTAGACCTATTTTTCACGTGCTCGGCTTCCCAGATATATCCAAATCTGAACATAAATAACGTTTTTATCTACCTACATTTTGTTAAATATATTCATATCAGGCCGCGTGCAAAAGCAGGGCCCCTAAGGAGTCCACCGCGTCCTACAGCTCTGAGCGCTCACTCGGGGCGCTAAGGGATTGGTAGACTTAATTAATTAATATATCATTAATTAATTGTCGGATCCAAAAATGGAAGAAGAACTTTCAGTTTCTGTTCGAAATGTATGCGATCCGACCCTGAGATCGAGGATTGTAAGACTCTCAGCTGCGAAATCACGTGTCTGACGCGTGAAATAGAATAAAGTCATCGCTGACGCGAGCCTAACCGTACACGCGATTCTCGATATGTACGGCATGATGTGATCCAATTTGAACTACAAACAAACAAACAAACAAAGACGGAGACGGTTAGAGTCGCGAGCGATGATTTCGTGTCCAAGCTTCTATTGTTCCAAATAATCGCAGCGATTTCCGGGAAAGGTATCTACGAATCACAGCGCACCACGAAAAGTTGAAAAACGAAGTGTCACCCGTTCTCATCACGGAAAAAACGATATAACAGCCGCTCCTCGGGAATTCGTTCATTCCAGTTGTCGAATTATAGCCGACGAAACGAGCAAATCTGCAAGTCGAGTAGATTCACAGTGTCATCACGGAAAGGCGATCCGTCGCGAAGCAAGCTCGATCGATCATTCGTCGTCCTCATAACAAAAGATCACGCGATCCTCAACATTCGACAGTGGAAGATTCGACTCCTCGATCCAAACCGGCTGCATTCGGTCGCGTCGCTGACGTACCAATCTGCCGATTCATTGTTGTTGACTGGACTTGTTCGTGACTCTTTCAACTACGCTCCATACATAGAAGTCCAAAGGATTCAAATTTAGGCTGTTGGGAGGCCAGAATTCTTTCGACCAAAACATGTCGACGTTGTCCGACAACTAATTTTGCACCAAATGACTTGTGTGGGCGGGCGCACTATCCTGCTGGAAAACATACGGCTTTCCAGACGACACAGTTTTCATTCACGGCTTCACTACATTTGTCAGAACACGCAAATAAATTTTTTTTGAGACATTTTCCCCTTTGTTAAAGAAATGCGGTGGCATGACATCACCCTCACTGGATACAACACCTAGAACGTGAACATTCGCTGGAAATTTCGTTCTTGCAACAATGGGAACATCTTCAGGGTCGTGGGCGAGCCAGCGGTCATTCTTTCGATTGATTTTCGCATCCACACTAAAAATTTTTTCATCAGAAAAAAACCTGAGTCGTCCGGCAGCATTGTTTCTTAAAGAACACAAAAGCAGGTTGCAGCGTTCAACTCGCTTTGTCCTGGCGGCTTCGGAAAGCATTTGTCTCACTTTAATTGTGTAAGACTTGTAGCGGAGGTCCTCCTCGACGATTCGACGAGTTATAGTTTTCTCGCTCACCAACAACCGACAACAATTTTCGGATCAACTGCCCTGGATCCTCAAAAATCAGCTCCTGAGCCCGTTGAATGATGTCGGGCGTCCTGATAACGCGCTCCTTCGAGTGGGTTTTCCTCGCCGGTTACAAAACCTTCGTTGGACTTCTCCAACTCATTGTACTTTGCGATGACATCATACATAGTCGATCTCGGGTACCCGAAGAACCGAATGATTTCTGTCGCCCAGCGCGAACACTTTCGATAATCGCGGCTCTTCGGTTATACTCCGCACTTGATTTCAACATTGCGACTGTTTCGAGGTTATGATGGTTTAGTACATGCGTCAAACTATTTGAACGCTAATCGTGACATCTACCAGTAGTATAGAACGGCGAGAATTTCAAATTGAATTTTGTCCGGATTTTGGCGCCGCACTCTGTATATGTATATATATGTATAATAGAAATATATAAAAAAAATTATATCATTTGTCTGTATTGTGAATTATTATAGATTGTGTGAAATGATTTTTACATTAGAAGTACTAAATCATTTTTGTACCCGTTTCAATTTTGTAAACTGATATTGAATTCATTATATTAAAGGCAGTATTGTTAAGGAGTTTTTATTAAATTGAAAAAAATAATTACTGAAAAACTGAAAGAACACATTTAAATATTTAAAGAAACATTTTCTCTTGCTGCTGCAGCGTTATGAAATTCTTTAGAATCGACAGATTTTTGTTCATTTTATCCCATTTTTCTCAAAATTATGACATGATAGCCAAATCTTGATAAAAGATGCGTATTTGATTACAAAAAATACGTCGGAAATGACTATTCACACTTGTGGGGCAAAAAAAGCTAAAATTAACAATGTTATTTATCTAAGTAAAAATAGAACACTCACGTTTGACATTATTGAGCTGATATATAAACATCAGGAAAGCTTCCTTATTTATACCTATATTGCCGTACCACAATCCATCTAGCAAGGCGTTTGTTAATTCGTTGTACTCAGGTGACGGATTGTTTAAATGTGCGGAAAATTTATCTATTAACATCAGAAATAATTCTCGCGTCTCCGCAACGTCTTTGCGACATACATTTATTCTGTGAATAACAAATAACATTTATAAAATTGATGAAAAGAAAACAAAATTATTGTATGCATTATATTTGTTATTGTGAAAAATTACAACTAGGCAGAACAGAAAACAGTGATGGTGTCAACATAACAAAAATATGATCGAATCATGATTGAGTAGTGAGTTTTATAAATATTTTCTCGTTTTGTGATTTCTTGTTTTGTCTACATAAAAATATATACTGCATTCAAATGAATATTACTTTCTTCAAGTATTTCAAAAGTTTATAATTGCAAATCTATCATAAAACTATCATGAACATTAAAATTCGTCAAAATAAATTCTGTATCCTATTAAGTTTAACATTCCAATCCATCCATCCAAGATATTAAATTAAAACCAAAATTCATTTTGCTTACCACGCAGAATCAAACTAACTTTTTCTTCGATAAAGTTTTATAATATTCTTACACAGAGGATAAATTCTTCTTTTAAGTAATATGATAATAAATTTCTATAAATTTATAATTTGCGATTTGTAAGTATATTTTAATATTATTATTAAGAAAATATTCTTTGTTAACTATATAATACAAAAGAAAGTAATTAAATTGAATAATCATTTTGCTTAACAGTAGACTGATATTCTTTGTGTAGACATAGAATTCTCTGAAGTAAAATTTTTCTGTCTCTCTCTCTCTCTCTCTCCTCCCTCTCTCTCTCTCCTCTTATCTTCTTTCTGTTAGCATTTGCGTATTACCGATCGGGAATTTCTAGCATACGTCCCATTACGCGCCAAACATGAATCATTGCCATTTCTTCTTCCGGTTTAATGCGTAAGCCGAAAACCTCAGGCATGACAAAAATATATCCTATTGCAGCGACTTGTGTTAAAACCATGTCCCTTTGATAAATTCCTTCACCATTACCATTCCTTGCTTTATTGGAGTTGAACGTATGTTTATAGCGAATTGTGTTTATATATTTGTAAAATCTGCAAGAATATAGAAATTAATTAATTAATTAATTCGGACATCCGTCCGAAGCATCGACCGAAGCACGATTCTAGTTCACTCAAATATATATGGATATATTTTTTATATACGTTATATTCGTACGTAAAGGAGGGTATAACTTTTATAAAGGGTTCCGCGACTGTGCTCGGGGATCGTTTTATATTTATATTTTCTTATGTATTTTTTTTCGTAGAAACTGAAAATTATCAGTATCACAACGCCAAACTTAGGAAAAAAAAATATATATATAAAATAAAAAAAAATACTATTCACATCGTTATAGAATTACTGTCAGTCATGCTTCAATAATTTAAAAATTAATTCAAAATTGGACTAAATACAAATATTTGTAGTATTATATTGAATGATTACCCGACGTAACTTTATGTTTAAAATCTATTATTTTGGTTTAACCGATTACTTGAACCGATTACAGAAGTCGGTTTCAGAACCGATTACAGTTTTACACAGCCCTAGTATATAATATAAGTTTCATTAAGTTCTCATAAAACTTTTCTCATGATACAACTATCTTTTTTGTAACTAATCTATATCTCGAATTTTATGGGTTGATCTAAAAAGTTGAAAGATCATTATTGTGTCAGATCTTAAAGATTATTTTAGAGATTTTGTCGATTAAATAACTGCTTATGTGGTTAACGTTAACGATAAGAATTTGAAAAGATCAAAATTGCCGTGGCAAACTGATCAATAATCCGAGCAAAAATGTATACAGTAGAACAAATTTTAAAACTAGTAGCTAGATAGGAAGGACTAGATAAGTTTTCTAGCCAGTTACCAACTCGTGACTGGCTAAATATTCCTCAGTCTTTTGAATGTCAGAACTGTTTAGTCTTTTGAATGTCAGAACTGTACCAATTACATAGATAATGGCTAGATAAAAAAAATTACATAGTAACGAGATAGAAAATTATCGGTAAATTCTGAAAAGAAATTGGATATCAGAACTATCTAGTAACTATACCAATTACATAGACAGTGGTTAAACAAATAAGATTATACAGTAACGAGATATAAAATCATCGGTAACTCCTGAATAGAAATTGGACGTCAGAAATGTCTAATATCTACACCAATTACATAAATAGTGGCTAGACGAAACGGATTACACAGTAACGAGATAAAAAATCATCGGTATATCCTGAGCAGAGATTGCATATCAGAACTGTCTAGTAACTATACCAATTACATAGACAGTGGTTAGACGAATAAAATTATTACAGTAAGGAGATAGAAAATTATCGGTAACTCCTGAATAGAAATCGTCAAAACTATCTAGTAGCAATGTACTGTAAATCCTGAATAGAAATTGGATATCAGAACGGTCTACTCACTAGATAGTACATTTGTGTATAGATAATGACGATTAATACACAAATTAGCTACATATGGTTTACTCAACGCCGTTTTATCTAATCTAATTCTAGACGAAAAAAGTTACACAGTGACGAGATGGAAAATTCGGTAAATCCTGAATAGAAATTGAATATTAAACGCTGTCTTGTAACTGTCTAGTAACAATATACTGTAAGTTCTATGAATGGAAATTAGATATCTAAACTGTGTATCTACTAGATAGTAAATTTATATATTACATCATCATTATCTATACACAAGTGTACTATTTAGATAGACAGTTTAGATATCTAATTTTCATTCAGGATTTACCGAATATTGCTACTAGACAGTTACAAGACAGCGTTTGATATTCAATTTGTATTCAGGATTTACCGAATTTTCCATCTCGTCACTGTGTAACTTTTTTCGTCTAGAATTAGATTAAACGGCGTTGAGTAAACCATATGTAGCTAATGAAATCATATAAAACGTTCACTACCGACTATAGTAGTGGTCTAGTAGATAAAGTGCCAGGCTCAAGAGCCAGAGGTCTCAGGTTTAAGTCCCAAAGGATAAAATTAATTTTTCTAATAGAATAAATAATATATACTGAAGAAGAATTACAGAAAACCAGACTCCATTGGATCTCACCTCTTCTGAAGAGAAAGAGAGAGAAAGAGAATAAATAAAAAAACTATCTATCCATTAGACATCTATGATACAGAAATTCTGAGATATAAAAACTATTTAAGGATTATAAGGATTATGCTCCTGATATAAAGAAAAAGAAAAATCATCGAAGAGAAATAAATTTTTCGTTTTTGCTATTTAGTAACTATCTAGTGCCTATCTAAATTTACAAGTTTTTTTTGTATCTAGCTACTAGCTAATTTTTCTGGTACAGTTACTAGAAGAAGTGAGTGTTACATTCCTAGCTAGTACTACTAGTTAGTAACAATGTAAGACCTAACTTTTCCATATCATTACTAGACAATTACTACATTCAATTTTTGCTTAGGAACATAATTGGCGTGTCGATTGATAATAAAATTTCACATAGAAAATACATGCGACAGAATACGTGAAAAATTTTCACAGATACCTACTTGTCATCTGAATTCTGTAGATCAGCTAAATATACGTGATGCATGTACAGTAAAGTCTGATAATATCTCTTGTATGCTAAACACGGCGTATGACTTCCTTTTACATACCAGAGCACCTGTTGAAAAGGAAAAAAAGAATAATGAAATTTTTCTCAATCGGTCACTACTACATATGCAATATTTCACATTCCTCTTTCCACGTATCAATTAGCGTGTTTTTTATATAAATTATATAATTATTTATCTTTTTATAAAATCATCTTATGATATTATGATATTATCGAAATATTACCCGATATTATCAAGATAAATATATAATTATTTATCATTTTAACTTAAAGAAGTTTAAACACCTTTGATATCGATGGAACTGCAAATAATCCAATGAATCCTACTAAAACACCAATGACGAAGGATATTATGTTCCTTGCATAAAGACTTTGATGTCTGAAAATAAGCGAGTTTTTACATAATTAATAGGATCAATAGAACGCCAAAAAATACCAAATTTTTACGAATTTTTTGGTATAAAAATAGTGATATCAATTTCTTGCTTGCATCTACATATAGTTTATTTATACTTTCGACAATATACATGAATTTTCATGTGGCTAAAGTATATCAAGCGATCGAAATGTCTGCATCGGCAACAGATTTTCGTAGATTTGGTTAAACTACTGACAACAAAAAGTTCAAACAGATCGTCTAAAACACAAAAGTCAAGGCAATTTTTAATTAATAACATTTAAGCGCGTACAATAAACTTTGGGACAATATAAAAAATGGCAAAATCCTAAACCGTTCTAAAACAAATGTTTAGTTTCGTATTATTAGTTTTCCAAATAACCCGTTCAGAAAAACAATTATTTTTCACAAATGTTTAAATTGTTTAGGTTTAGCATATGAAAAAAATATTTACACTTAAAATTTCAAATATTTAAGCTATTATATTAAACTATTTTCTCTGCACATTATTAGTAAAACTGAGAAAACATGTTTCGAAAAAAACGCGTTTAAAGTTTTCGTTTAGGATAGTTCTGATTTTTTGGTATCTACAATAAGTTTTTCTTCAATCAGCACTTTCTAGAACATAGATGAATTCATTTTCTTAAAAAAAAAATCATCAGGTTGATTGACTTGTCTGTTATATTGTCATCTTTTGTTTTTGCAGCGCGCCAAGTTAATTCGCTGATGGTCCATTACATCAGTAGTTGCTTTATATTTTGAACCTATATAGATTTCCATGATCTGTATCACTTTTAAAACTGCATCATATCCTTCATTGAAGATGACAGGAATGTTACTACTTCAATAATTTTTAAATTATTATGTAGATGGTTTTGCAGTAACTACTTATACACCGTTACAGAAAATCTTCTCTTGATAAATTATTATATTTTAGGAGAAGTTCTTCATAAGGACATTATGAAATTTCAATTTTTTATATCTCGTGCGAGTACTCACATTTTGAACAATTTTTCGTCGTACCAATCTGGGAGGTCCTCGGGTGTTATATTATGCGGTTCATGATTAATTAAGCTTTCTTCCTTTAATATTAAATCATAATGTTCTTTCACCGTTGCCGGTTGAACTGTAATGTAATAATATATAAACAATTAACTGACCAATTCATATTAAGAATATCTCAGATTCTCCTCCGCAATTTTTGTGGGAACGTAGAACGGATTGAGGTAAACATAAAAGATTGGTCGTGACAATAGCATTAATTTTTTATATTAATATTAACATCACATTAGTTGACGATACTTTTGAGTTGGATTAGTATCACAAACCTTCTTTTTCCAAAAGATATTTGAACTTTTTTTCAGGACATCCCCTATGTCATAAAGTGGGCAATATTATTGGCCTTATTGATGCTTTTATTGAAAATAATCCAGGTAGGTTTTGACACGTTAATTGTAAATTTAACCCCCAAAATGTCGTATCACGTCAAGTTTTTGAGATATTTAAACTTAGATGTGCAAAAAATTAGGTTTTTGGCCATTTTCAATGACCTATAAAATCGCTAGTAATTTTTTTCTAGCATTCAGCAAGGTAGCATATTAAAGTGCTATTCTTACACTTTTCAATACATATTAGATTGTTATGATGCGACTTTTTCCGCTGAAATTTAAATTTGAAATTCAATTGAAATAAAAATTTAAGTTTTTTAATTTTTCAACATGAGAGAGTATAACTTATATGTAAAAAAAACTCTTTAGTTTGTATAAATGAAGGTCTAATAGTAAAATAAAAAAACATTAAAATACAGAAAAAAAATAAAAATGTCAACGCACGGAATGCACGGAAAGATAGAAACTATCAAATTTTAATAAACACGTTTTAATCTGCGAATAAATGTGTTAGAGGCATAAATTTTTAAAATAAAAATACTAAATTTCAGAAAAAACAAATGAAAATTTAGAATAAATATATAAAAGTTTCATAGATTTATTCTGAACTGTTAAATATTTTCACTTACTAGTTTTGACAACATCGCTCAATCAGTGTTGCGTTGTCGAAAAACTAATAATTTTAATTTGTTTTTTTTTTTTCGAAAAAAGTCACATTATAACAATAAAATATATTGGAAATGGTAAAAATAGCATTTTTTTGTGAGCTTTAATGTTATAATGTGACAACTCCCGGAATTCTGAGAAAAAATTATTAGAGATTTTATAAGTAATTGAAAATTACCAAAAACCTCATTTTTTGTACATTTAAATTTAAATATCTCAAAAACTTGACGTCATAAGACATTTTGGCGGCCAAATTTGTAATTAACGCGTCAAAACTTACTTGGAACAAATTCATTTACTTTAAGGCCAAAATGGTGTCAGCCAATGTAACTGAGTCAAGAGAAACTTAAGAACCAGTTTTATATGATTATGTAATATATATTATGTGATAACATTATTTGGAAAATCTGTTAGATAATCATTTTCGAGTTCAAAAATAAAATAAAAAATAAAAAGATCACTAAAAAAATAACCTTGCAATTATAAAAATAATTCATATTATAAAACTTTTTAAATTATAAATAAAATTAACTATGATTAAAATTAACATTGAGTTTCTTAATTTTTCACTTTTTTCTTGTAGTTATAGAAAAAATTATGGATATATATTAAACTTTTTAAATTATGAATAAAATTTACTTCGAGATAATTAATTTTTAACTATTTTATTAATTAATTTGTATTAACTTTTAAATGTTTTAAATCATAAAAAAAATTATGGATAAAAGAGAATTTAAAAACATTTTTGGAATTGTCCGCAAAATTTTTCATCGAGTAAAAGTCTTAGTCCGCGATAATGTAAACTAAACATGATAATTACGTGCCAGATACGCAGTTGTATTCACAAAAATCTTACCACTAATCACCAACGATAATGTGTGAGATTCTCTGTCTCGATAAGATCGTCAGTTTTAGTTTATTTAAATGAAGATGGGAGTTCCCTTATAGAAATATCATACTAAGAATCATTGATAATTACTTATTATCCAGTATTTTTAATACTGAAAATAAGTAATTATCAATGATTCTTAGTATGATATTTCTATAAGGGTTCATGGAATGTTCAGCGGATTCAAGCAAAAAATAATTACTTATGACAAACAAAAGATAACAAAAAAAAAGATAACAAGGTTTTATATAAATCTGGTATTTCTCAACCGGTACGCGCGCAGCGAAACTATACAACACTTGCGATATTAACAAATTGTAGGTGACTCTAGCAGCAGCCAAGGTCGTCCATATGGACGGTTCACAGTCTTTCTTGGATATTCGATAACAAATCTAGTTTCGGACGTTGTATGTGGAAGAGTAGAATTCAACGTTGCGTAACTTATTAGATTTGGTTTCCGCGTTTAAGCCGCCTGGATTCTTTCTCGTCTGACTCTGACGTTTCGCAAACATTTCAGTCCGCTTATCAGAGAGAAACGACCCGATGCGTGACTTATAGCATTATCACCATACACTGATAAAAAAATTTATTCAATCTAAATAAATATATTTATTCAAATATGTTTTAGTTGCAATAAGAAGTTATTTATTGAATTGTAATATATATACATACAGGGTGTTCAAAAAGTCCCGGACCGGTGAAATATCTCGAAAACTAAGCATTTTAGAAAAAAATGTTTCAGATAAAAGTTGTGGCGTTTAAAAAGATGTATTTACTGATCACATCAGTTTGACCTT